CATTTTTCGAGATAGCCACCTGAGCTTAAAAGCAACCAATTGTATGATTATTTTACAGAACTACACCTACTTGATCGACGCAACCGGTGCATGCACCAGGGAGCCTCTGCCTATCTTCGGATACATCACAAGGTGTCTTCCACGTAAGTATAATTTATTATTGTTGTCGTTTTTTTTTTACCTCTAGCTGTTCTTAAAAGAAAATGAACTCATTTTGAGTCTTCAAATCCCATAACCTCTTTTACTGTATAAAAGAAAAATACTAATTTGCCTTCCTACTAATCTTCTTTCTAGAGGTATTTAAATCTTATTTTTTTATGTTAACTCAAAGTATATTCCGGTTACTCTTTGCTCATTAAAAAAATCTAAGATCAGTTTCTCTCAAATGGTAAAACAACAATGAAGCAAAAATGTAAAGCAAAAGACTGCATTAAAATTTGCTTTTCAGTTTAAAAACTGGCAATGTTTTGCCCATAATTATGAGACCTTAAACCAGACATGGACAAACTGGGGCCAGCAGGATATATTCAGATTGGAATAATTTCAGTCCAGCCTCCTAGTCGATTCAGTAATTAATATTGAATATAACCCTGGGTGCTCCTATAATTGATAGAATCAAAAGTATCCTGCTTCAAATTAAAACAGATAGTTTTTTGGAACGGCTAGATGCAAAAGATTTCATATCTTATCTCAGGAAATACAGTGTCCGTTTTAGTTTCACTATTGAGAGCTTGGATATTTCAACCAATTTTACCCAGTTTATGTGGATTTAGCCTGCAAATATTATCAGTAATTGTGTAATCCAAAACGCGAATAAGACACTCTGAATATGCCTGAATTCATCCAAAGATATGTCTGACATTTTCTTTTACTATCATGTATTACGTAAACCCCTTTTCAAATCTGGTCCACAGCAAGCAGCGTGTTCCTTGGTGAGGTTTTCGAGGGTTTCGTCAACAAAGTCACCTTGAACGGTTGGCTGATCCCTGTGAACAAGGACTACAATGTGACTCTGTTGACGTACACAGAGCCTGGACAAACTGACTCTTACTTCGTGCTCAGGAGAGATGACAGTAAGTAGATTATTGTTGTTGTTGTTGCTGTAGTTGTTGTAGTTGTTGTAGTTGTTTTTGTTTTTCTTCTT